GATAGGCCTTACTGAACACTCTGTTCCTTGATAGGCCTTACTGAACACTCTGTTGGGCCAAAAAATCCTGAAATTGATAGGAGGTTCCAGAGCAAACTTAATTTTCAAGACTATTTAATTTGATCGGCAACTTAAGAAATGATGAAATATTTCTTGGATTGTTTTGGTTGCAAACCGGCTTGGTCGCCCTGACTTTCCCAACACTGATGGTTTGGAATGGAAACGGTACTGAGAAAGACCCACAATTCAGTGCTTTAGTTTTAACCGTTTCCTTTTAAACATCTACCTTGTTCTGTCGCTCAGGCTAGCGCCAAAGAAGATGACGAATCAGTCGTTGCGAACGAGGGTGTCTCGAGATGCTGTCCTAGAAGGAGAAACTGGTCTTTATATTTATTTTCGCCGTCTAACAGGTAAGAATGCGTCAAACTTAAAACTACGCTTACTACCGTGCCTACTGGCGCAATTCAACTTGCACTTTCATTTTTCAACAACACTAACATGGAGAGAAACATTCTCTGAGAAACCTTGACCTCAACTGAAGGCCATAATGTACAATCTACGACACAATTCTAGACAAAATTAAACACGGATCAAGTGGAGAACTCCTATTCTATTCGCCTAGTTTTTAAATATGACCTAGCTTTGAAAACTGGTACTAAATTTTGTAAATATTGAAAAATAATTAGTATAATTAATTATTATAATTAGTATAATTAATTAGTTCTAAATTGGAAGTTTCGCAACATAAGACACGTAGTTTTTATCTCAGGAATTAATAAAGACTATTATTATCATCATTATTATTCAACTCTCAAAAAACCCCAAGCAAACTTATTCTGCACCCTACAGACTTAACTGATGTTTGCGTATGAGAGCGCTTTTCTTTTTAATGGAGGAAAACAAAACCGAAGAAAAACCAAGAAAAAGATCAGACGACGAGCACAGCAACACTTCTCTAACCTTATCTCTCGGTTTTAATTTTACTGACTTATCCCGTTTTAGATTCAGATTCAAAATATATGCATGTTCGACCTTATTTTATTTGTGTGTCTTCATAGGTTCCGCCAGTGGAACATCGCCCTGTATAAGAACAAGTGGTTTGATCGGGTGATATTATTCTTCATCTTGTTAAATTGTGTGGTTATGGCTCTGGAAAAACCTAGCTTGAAAAGTGACGACAAGGTAAGTTACTGATTCTTTGAAAATTTTTATAGCTACAACAACAATCCTTTTCTACGTGTTTGATAATTATTATAGGTTGCACGTTTTCTTGTCGGTTCATGTTCTGTTTCCCAACGATATGATTATGTGCATGTAGGAAATAATTGCAGTCCATAAACCAGACCAATAATCTAAAGAGAATTTTATGAAACGCTGCGGTAATGGACCAAAATATCGGCCAGTAATTTTGTAGATAACAGAAGTAATGAGACGTCCAGCTCGAAATTCGACTAACTTCAAAACACGACGTACTTTTTTAGAAGTTAAGACACTTCTCCGTGAAAAAGAACAACGCATGCCAAAAGATTTAAGGCCAAATTTAAAGACCTGGTCGAGTCAAGAAAAAAATTTCATAATTCCTTTTCTCACTGAAGGCAACCCTAATAACAATTTTCTTACATTGTAGCTGAAGAAGGCAATTGACATCTGTATGTACATTTTCCTTGGAATCTTTACTCTAGAGATGATGGTCAAGGTACGTAAAACACTTCCCATTTCGATCCAGAAATATCAAGTTCAAAGATGGATGTTATGGAGTATCCCTCTTAAATTGCATTGTTATTAGTTCCGAAGATAATTCTGTTCTTCCTCAAACAGCAACCCTCGATAGTGGAATCAGGCCAGATGTATATTTGATCACCGTAGCCACCCTCTCCTTCTATCTCCACAGGTTATAGCTCTCGGTTTCTGTATTGGTCCGGATACGTACATGCGCAATTCTTGGAATGTGATGGATGGCTTCTTAGTACTTGTGTCCTGGATAGACGTCATCGTTTCCCAGACAACTAAAACTGAAAGTTCCATTCTAGGAGTGTTACGAGTATTTCGAGCGCTCAGAACACTGCGACCATTGAGGTAAGTATGCAACAGCCGATCTTGTCAATCTTTTGCCGGTTTGATTTATTTTTTTTCTGAATGGATATTCTTCATCATTTGAATGAACTGTCGCTTATGCAATCAGTCTTACTGCAATAGGTTTGTATATCGATAAGTGAATACATAGAGGTTCTATGTCAACTCCACCGTAGTTTGTTAGGTTCATTCTTGGTAACAAAGTAAATGGTTCAAGAGAGTTCCCATAAAAGGCCTTTTCTTTTTTTCCAATGTTTTTTTTTAGGGTGATAAGCAGAGCACCTGGTCTCAAGATTGTGGTGGAGACGCTAATCTCTTCCCTAAAACCGATTGGAAACATTGTGCTTATCGCTGCGACATTTTTTATCATATTCGGCATCCTTGGTGTACAGGTAAGTATTTACCGAATCTCATTTCTCTGAATTTTTTTGACATTTTTCAAATAATGGAAAGACGCGACGGTAGAGAACTGGTTCGTTCCCACTGAGAGTGTTCGCAATATGCTGTTGTAACTCGTGGAAAAAGAAGATTCTGAAACGAATCTAAGTTGCCAGAAAAGTTTGCAGCTACGAAAAGAGTGACAAATATAAGGATATTGTGTGACTAAACAGAGGTTAAGATGGCACTAGAGAAGATTTTTACGGAAAATAGGCCATAAAGTTTTATTCCAAGCCGTCTACTTTCAGCTATCTCACACTAGCATAGACTCTGGAGATCTTTTTTTACCACTTTTCTGCGGTTTGATTTAAGAATCACACGAAAGTTAAATGATAACTTTATTATTTTATGCCGTTACTGTTGCTATGAGGGTCCCTTTTATAATTACCGTTTCATTTCATAAGGTTTTAAACGAGGAAACTAAACGAGAACGAACAAAGTTGTTTCTTAGAAATTTGCAGCATTAACGTGTTCATCATTCGACCTGCATTTAATTGTTCACAGCTTTTCAAGGGAAAGTTCTATCATTGTAAAGACAGTGATTACCCCACAGTGGTCACAAAAGACGACTGTCAGCAACAAGGACTCACCTGGGAAAACAAGGAATACAACTTTGATAACTTGGCGAGGGTAAGATTTATTCCGAGGATTTTAGTTTGTTTGTTTGTTTGTTTCTTTCTTTGAGTAGTCTACATGCTAGTAATGAAATAACTTGTTTACATGATTCTCTGCAAGAATTTTTAGGGAAAAAGTATAGGACAAAACAGAATAATCAATAAACGTTTCCTCATATAGTTTCAAGTTATATTCAATCAGTTTTGTATTGTCTCCTACAGGCGCTTTTGACTTTGTTCGTATTTTCCACTAAAGACGGCTGGGTGACCATAATGTATGATGGGATAGATGCTGAAGGTGTTGACAAACAGGTAAATAGCTGATTAGTGATAACAACACACAACACGAAAGATAGAAACGCAAAACGAACTGTCAAACGATGGTGTTGCCCACGATTAAATTTACCTGATGCCCTACCGTAAGGCTCTAAGGTAAGCCTGTTAGGTCCCTCTTCTTTGGTAGTTTATCAGACAGTCAATATTATATAGTCGTCCCTTTATACGACTGACCCTCCCCCCGCCCCCCTTGCGTTCCCGTATCCCCTTTTCCAAGTTCCCTCCCCCTCCCCCCAAAAAATTCCTCTGACCCTTTCCCCGTAGAGAGATAATGACTAGTCCGAAGATATTAGAGCTTATGATTAACAGGGTATTGTTACTCGGAATGAAATTGGTGTTAAGAATTTAACTTTTCCTTCTTTCATAGCCAATTCCAAACAGGAACAAATGGAACGTTTTATATTTTGTGGCGTTTCTCTTATTGGCGGGGTTTGTGGTGCTGAACATGTTGGTTGGTGTGGTTGTGGAAAACTTTCAGAAGTGTCGCGACATGATAGAAAAAGATCGCCTGGCTGAGAAAGAAAAAAAGAGGGCAGAGAAACTTCAGTCTGGTATGTTGTAATCAGGCATTTTTATGATTGCCTTATTAAAAAGAAAATCTTTTCTTTAGCTGTAGATAACATCAGGCTTTTTGATCTGACTTCAGAGTTGAATCTTGACCAATCTATGCCTACTTTTTCTCACAGAGGCTGACAGGGATGAGGCGGACGATTTTCCACAACCTCGAAGGTTTTTTCACCGAATTTGCACTCATGGCTACTTTGACCTTGGTATCTCGGCTGTTATATTCCTGAATGTTATTTGTATGGCTATGGAGCATTACAATCAACCCGAAGTGAGTCGGGCTTTCATCAGGAAGTTTCTTTTTTTACTGTAACTGGATAGTTTTGTTTCACTGAACGGCATGTGAGTCCATATTTCTCCTTCACCTTTACGAGACAATCTGTGCGGAGTCAGTCGAGGCTGACAGCCGCTTGTTCATGGTAATAGCTTGTCAGAATCCTGGAATGAAGCTGATTTTCATTTAAGGCCCTTGAAGTTCTGTAGCATCCATGATCTGTGAATGCAAATATGTACCGCTAAAGAATAATGTTTTGTTTTGTGAAAGGGCAAGAACGAGAATTCAAGTGACACCACTTTTGTCCAACTCGTAGAATCTCTTTGATCCAAAGTTTGGAAATACAAAAAAATTTTCTGTCAAACTCGGCCTCTCAAGTTCTGCGAAAAATCAGTCTCCCCCATCCGGGTGGCCGTTACAACTTACAAATACAGCGCCGTTAGGCATTTATTTAGTTACTTGTTTCCTTCAACCTATTTTATTCGATTTCCTCTAGGAAATGACATTGTTTCTTCGATACGCAAATTACGTATTCACAGCCATTTTCATCGTGGAAGGCGTTGTGAAGATTTACGCTCTAGGATTCAAAAAGTACATCAAAGAAAGGTATGATCACTCATCAGTGTTATTTTCAGCGCTTTCACTTTCTTGTTTTTAAGTTTTTTCTTAAAAGCGTATGAATGTAAACTGTGTTTTTTCTCATCAGATGGAACCAATTGGACTTGCTTATCATTCTGTTATCAATTGTCGGAATTGTCCTGGAAGAAATGAAATCTAAGCTGCCAATCAACCCGACTATCATCCGAGTTATGAGAGTGCTTAGAATTGCACGGGGTAAGCACAGTTGTGGCCTTATTTGTGCCTTACGTACCATCCACCCTCCCACGGCATGCCGCTCACATCCCTAGAATTTCATGTAACTCCATTGGCTCTATGTTGTATTAGTTGTCACGCAACTCCCTTGGCTCCATGTTGCTGTTGTTGTCACGCAACTCCCTTGGCTCTATGTTGTTGTAGTTGATGTTATTGCTACTGATGTTTTTTTGAGCTCAGAAATTTGTCTGTAGTTGTCTTGTATACGATAATTCTCGATCAAGAGAACTCAGGGCCAGAATGGTGTATGTCTTTCCTTACTCTGTTACTTTTTGACTACAGTTCTGAAGCTACTGAAGACTGCTGAAGGAATCCGAAAACTGCTGGATACAGTCGCCGAGGCCCTACCGCAAGTAAGTAGCGTTAAAACTAAACATCTGCGCACTGAAGAAATGTTGTGTTTTGTGTGAATATCGAGTGACAGGCATACGTCATTGTGTCAGAACACAACAGGATTTAAGACTGGATATTTGGTGTTTATCCTCACCGATTTAAGTTTCGGTCGATTCCATGTTTATTTGACCCCGGGAATCTGCCTTATTCGTGATATTTTCATCGTTGTTTTTTTCTTAGTAAAGTCTTTTGGATCTCAGATAAAATAAGCTTAGCTCAGATTTTCAACCAAGCGGTAACCGGTGCTTATATATTTCGTAACGTCACTTGAGGTTGGGAGAGCGGTATATATTAAGTTGTCGTATCATCATCACCTTACATGCCATGTAGAGGTTACACCGTCATCCTTCTCTCCTACTTTGGATAAGTTTTTACATAAAAGAAATGTAAGCAACTATGCATACGCCTGCAGTGTAATGTTGCAATATCCACTAATTAAAAAACTATGCCATTTTTTAATCGCAATACAGGTTGGCAACCTCGGTCTTCTCTTCCTTCTAATGTTTTTCATCTTTGCTGCTTTGGGAATGGAGCTGTTTGGTCAAGTGGGTACGTTCTGAACGGTCGTTTATTGTCATTTTGATGTTGTGCTTTGAAAATTGTTTCTTAAGTTATATGTCATATCTTACTAACGACACTCATCTGAAACTTGCTCTATTGGCTTTTGTTCTTATTGGCTATTAAGCTTTCGTTGATTCTCACTTCATAACGAAGCTGTCATAATTTTTTGGTTTTGTTTTTGTTTTTTTCTTTATAACGGAGCTTGTTGTACCAGGCCCATATTTTTTTATCGAAGTGCGTGTAAAGCTATCTAGCAAATAAGAGTTAAAAACACGTTCGAGGCTATCCACAGGATAGAGATTTATCCCATAGATAGCTTTAGCCATCCTTTGGACAACAGGGCCTCACAAATAACATTTCTCTTTCTACCTAGTATGCACGGACGAAGTACCATGTGAGGGACTGGATCATCACGCTCACTTCAAGGATTTTGGATTTTCAATGTTGACATTGTTCCGAGTGTCAACTGGAGACAACTGGAATGGAATTCTGAAGGTATCAAACAAATGTTACCAACAGTTTAGCGACATAGTCTCGTTCATCTTCATCGTTATCATTATGTTGGCATTTCTATTAGATTTATCAGTTTTATTAGCATTATCGTCAAAGTCATTTTCGTTTTTTCATAGTAAGAAGTCGTTCCAGAGGCGCTCGCAAATATTCAAATACCTTTACAGGAAAATTTCAAACTTACGGTCGCGTCGAGTTCGATCACGAAACGTGCTCACAGTAACTAAGGAAAAGCTAAATAATCTCTTGTTGTTGTTATAATTGTTTTTGACCGATAATATCTAGCCACCAAGAAGTATGAATTTGATTTCTTTCCTTTTTCTTTTAACAGGATATAATTAACAAGAAGCGTTGTGAACTGAATCCCACTCCAGGCTGCGCTGCACTGGAACACATCGCTCCCATCTATTTCGCTATATTCGTCCTAGCGACACAGTTCGTTCTTCTGAACGTAGTGGTAGCCGTCCTGATGAAGCACTTGGAGGATGCCAAGGAGGAAAGTTCTACAGCGTCTAAAGAAGGGTCAGATGATGTGTCGGCAATGCAAGTGGATGGAGTCTCGGATCCCAAACATATTCAGGGAGAATCTTCTATAGATCACGAGTATCGCATGGTTCCTTCCAGTACGAAAGGAAAAACAGAATCGAACAATAACCCTATGGTTGTAGTTCCAGTCGTTGGCTTTGTAAGGCAGTCGAATGGCTCTGATAGCAGCTTAAGTTCCTTTGGCCATGTTCAACCTGAAGGTGGAAGCAGTCATTGGCTTCCAGCGATCGATCAAACAAAACCTGAGCATAACAAGAGCCTCGCTTCAATACGACTCCCACCGATCGGAAAGAATTCGGATAAACTCGAAGATTCATCGCTGTCTGAGCTGTCAAGCCCCGAGAACGACAAACCCAGCAAAAGGCTAGATGGTCAGATGTCTCCACGGGCTCCCATCTACGTCATGAGCGAGGACAGCGACTTATATGATAGTAACATGGAGGTCGATCACGATCACAGCAAAGTGTTTAAACCGGTTGAAAGATTCGCCAAATCAAAAGGATCTGTTCGTTCACCTTCATCTCAATCAAGCAGTGAGGACGAGGGAAAGAATAACAAATCACAATTCAGAAAGCCTCACCACAAATCAGAATCCCCAAGAGGGAAGACTCGCAAAAAGCAACCTAAAACGTCCATCGTGTCACCCAAACCAGAGAGTAAACCAGCAAAACCTGATGCTCGGTGGGCATCTCCAGTATTAAATGTGGAGAAAGGCACAGAAATAATCAAACTAGATAGTCCTAAAAAAGACGAAAACCAGGGAACTGATTATCAAATGCAAAGCTATGTGTGATAGACTTTCGTCAAACGAAAGAAACATAAATTGGACAGAGAATGTAATTTTAACTGACACACTAAAGGCAAAAAGAGTTGCCGGGTTTTCCCTCATTAGTGAACTTCTTTACGCCCTTCTTTTGTTGCAGGACAACAGTTTGAAAACATTGCAGCCAGAGCTAAACTTTCCTGCCGAAAGCTCTTGCATTTGAGGACTTATTCGCCCGTTTAAATTGAGCGCATTCTGATGGCCGGTCTGAATAAGCACTTCTAAACATTCTCGATTCAAGAGACATAAAGTAAACAATTAAAATAAGTGTAGGTGTAGAAGTCTTATTTTTGTAGCTGTTGACCGATCGTTGCAAATAAAAACAGCTCTCACAACGTGTAAAAATAAATAAAAAGTAGGCGATTCCTGTCTCTTAACAGGACCGAGCAAGATATGCAAGGAAACATAGAGAAGAAAGTCATAGTTTGTCGAAATTCTTTAATCAATGGTATATGGTTTTTAAGAACAGAATAAAGCAATTGAAATGTTTTAGGTCACAATATTCTTCTCATCTTCTCAATGCCAGTAATGTTTCATTACTCGGGAACAGAGGCTGGACCATTTGAATGATTGTGAAGTGAACAGATGAGCTAAAGCTTAATGGGAAGGACACTCCTTTGCTCGAGAACACGACTGTTTATCATCACTCACCTAACAGTGCGCTTTCATTGAGGAATACTACACAAAAATCCCCGTATGAGGGCCTTAAGCAATGGCATAAATAGGACCAGTCTAGGCCATACTGACCCGCAAGCTGGGACCAAAAAAAATTAAAAGAGGAAAGAAAAAGAACAACAGCTTTATGATAAATGGTTATTGACTGAGTTGGGTCGGAACAGACAGGAAAATCTTTGGCCCTCATGTCATGACCTGGAGTCAAATGTGTTTCCGAATGGCCTTCTCACTTAGTTGAAAGACACAGTGTTGAGCATACGAGCCGAGGTTTCACAAGGAAACTCCCAGTCTTGTAGAATAACTATTGTTCGTTTATTTCCAAGTCGTTCAGTAACAAACATGAAAATGTCAGAGTAAAGAAATTCGACATCTTACTTGAGTTTAAAGCATTTAAAATATTTGAAAACTTTAAATAATCAACGAGCACGCCGTAGCAATTTACCAAGAAAACTCCTGTCAAGGCATGCTCTCTTGAATGATGACAGGCAGAAATATTTTTATATACACTTTTTGTTTGTAAAACTTGCTTCGTTTTGAAATTTCATTACGACAATTACCTGCCTTGAGGCTCGTTGAATTTTGTGCACAACATTCACTTCGCCTCAGCCAAATAATTGCAAGCTAATCTATGTTGAAGATTTTCAGCTGACGAGGTAATAACTTGTTTTAATCTACATATTTTTTTCTTTTTAATCTCAAAGTTCTGTTCTCAACTTCTACTTCCCCAATGAATTTCCGGAACAGGTCACTAAAAATGAAACCTTGTTCCAAGATCTAGTTGGAACTTTTACTTTCCGTGTTTTCTTTTCCTTTACTTTCTTATACATACTATGTGTTGAATCATCCGCTGATCAACGCGGTGATGTAGATATAGTGCTACGCTCTACGAGCTCTGCAATATTATTCGACCAAAATTTAGTGTGACCACGCTGCGGGCGGAGTTTACGAAGAAGACATGACGTCATTTGAAGCAATAATTTCTCAACCCACCTACGAACGGGTTAAAATTTCTCCTCAGAAATTAAAATTTTATTTTAAATGTGATTTTTTTTTCATCATCTGTGTGCGCAATGTCTCAGGCTGATATCAGCTGAGTAACTTTTCCAAATCTCTACAAAGTTCATCAACTTCAGAGGATCTTCCTTTGTACTTGCCAACATTTACTCCCATAACACTTACAAGGGCAGCCACCTGACATTAAAAAAATATATATTTTTTCTCAGGTAAAAAATGTACCTATGAATGGATTTGAAAAATGTAATGAGACAACAAAATTAATATACCATTAAGAACAGCAACATTCTTACGTTACCTCTGAATTGTAATCCATGAATTTTCTTAAAGCGTACAGACAATTATGTTCTGAAAACGAACAGCGATTTGCTTTAGTGAGTCCCAACACTTAACAAACATCTATCAGGGGCGAGAATGAAGATAAAAAAAAGGGGGCACACAAACACATTCTTTCAGTCTATATTTAGAAATGAATAAAGGGGTAAGTTTCTAAAGAAACTGTGGTGCTGCGTCGGTGGG